TTGTTAGTTTATTTAGTGTTGATTTTAATTGTTTTTACTTAATTTTTCTTCAATTTTTGGATTACTTAAATCATATTAATTTATTTTATAATTTTAATACTTAATGAAACTTTAAGATTTTAGAGTTTAGGGTTTAAGGTTTAGGATTAGAGTTTAAGGTTTAGGGTTTGCTTTAAAGCTATTATAAGGTTCTAAAGCTTTTCTGCTACATTAACATGGCATAGAGGCATCAAAACCTCTTTTTGTAGTTTTATGAGGCATTTCCTTCATTAATGCATTTCCTAATTTTCAGAAAAGAAAGTAAGGAAAGGGTGAGAAATTAGAAATAATATTTTAAGCTATATTTCAATAGGAAATGGGAAGAAGAATAAAAAAAAAAAAGAGGAAGTGTACGAGTACTTTAGGGAATCTTTTGAGTCGAAAAAGTGGCAATTGTCGAGTATTTCTTTCAAAAAAACTAATCATAAGCGAATAGGAACTATCTAGAATCAACGGCATCAATGGAAAGTTTGAAAGAGAGTGTGAGAGTGTGATGGCTCAAAAGCCCCAAGCATCAACAGATTTAATTTTAATTTCTTAAAAAGTAATAGGGAACAATGAAACAAGATATGTTTTCTTTTGTTATTGACTTTTTGTTTCACTAAAAATGGAAAAAAAAAATAGATTAAACTCATCATCCATTATCCTCATACCAAAGGTTGATAGCCCAACAAAGTTGAAAGGTTATCACCCGATTAGTTTTTATCAATTCCACGTACAAGATTGTGGCAAAAGTGATGGCACGAAGGTTGAAGAGAGTGGTTGCTTCAGAAATTAATGTGACAAACTGCTCTTGTAGGCAGGAAACAGATCATTGATGGGATTTTGTTAGCAAATGAAATAATTGACAATATGAGGAAGAGAATTGGTAGAAGATCAAAAAAAGCCATACTGAAACTTGATTTTGAGAAGGCATATGACAAAGTGGAATGGTCATTCTTGTAGCAAATCATGAAAAAAATGGGCTTAGGAGAAAAATAGATTTGATGGATTTGAAGAGTGCACTTCATCAGCAAAAGTCTTGGTGTTGGTGAACAGTTCGCCTACAAAAGAATATGCAATGCAAAAAGGTTAAGGCAAAGGAATCAGCTGTCCCCTTTCCTTTTTATTATGGTTATGGAAGTGTTACATTTATGGCTCATGCAAGTAGAAGGATTGAGGTGAGAAAAAGGAGAACCTCGATATCACACTTACAATTTGCAGATGATAAACTTAAGTAGAATTGTGAATGTGAAAAGGGTGTTGATTGCTTTAAAATGTTGCTGTGATTAAAGATAAATCATGGGAAACTAGTTTATCTTTGGTGAAAGACACAAATGAGAGGTATGAAGAGTTAGCAAGAAGATTGAATTGTAACGTGGGCTCAATATCTTTTAATTCTTTGGGGATGCCTTTAAAAGCAAATCTAGGTAGAGTGAGTATGTGGAATTTGGTAGTGAAAAGATTCCCAGATAGGTTAGTAGGGTGGAAGGGCAAACTGTTTTCATTTAGGGGGCGTGTCGCATTTCTAAACTCAACACTATTATCTTTACCTGTTTACTGTATGTCCTTGTATTGTACATATTAATATTAATATTACACATTCATTCTTCTTCGTTGTTATTTTACATATTGAAAACTTAAAATCTCAATTAGGAAGTTGGCATTTCCATCATATTCCTAGAAATGATAATGGTTTAACAGATTAATTTACAGAAGTTGATGTTCAACGTCAACAAAATATGATATTAATGTTTAATTAATATTTTACCCTAAATTGAATGGTTGGGTTTAGCTTGGATGCTTTTGACATGTACTACTTGTATTAAGTTTTTTAATAGAGGCACTTTCCTTTGCAAAAACAATTGGCAAAACAAAGCCAAATGAGCAAAAATGAGATGAAGTTACTTTGAATATTTTGTAATGTTAAGGGCTACATAACATTTTAATTGGAGTAGCCCCCATTTTCCAACTCTGTCTCGTCTCTTGTTTCATCACTTCCAATCCTTTTGTATACAAACCTATTAGCAATCCACAGATAAACACAAAAATTCACAGCATTCAACCCTGCCAACACCCAATAGAAGTAGTTAAGGTGTGCACGATTAAAATTATTGCCCAACCATACATGTTCATTCCTTGAGGTAATCTTTTGCAGAATAGCAATGATAGCATTGTTGATAAAGCTCGCAACTCCCACTATACTTACAAAAACAGCAGCTCCTAAGCTTCTCATTCCTTCAGGCATTTGATCATAGAACAATTCTTGTAATCCAACAATGGTAAACACATCTCCAATTCCAATGAGCACGTATTGCGGAAGTAACCACCAAATGCTCATTGGCACTACAATTTTCGGGCTGTCAACAAGGCCATAGTTTTTTGCAGTGTTGATCCTTTTGGTCTCTATTAAGCCTGCAACAACCATGTTAAGTATAGAGACAAGCAAACCGATTCCTATCCTTTGTAGCATTGTTATTCCTGTCCGATGTCCAGATATTTTTTGAGCTATAGGGACAAAAACCCGATCATAGATTGGGACTGCAATGAGAACTGTGAGACCTACAATGCATTGCATAGCTGCTGCAGGAACTTGGAAATTGGATCCCATTGATCTGATCATTGTGCTGCCTTGCTTGACGAAAAAGGTTTGTAATTGAGCTACCACAACAAAGAACATCAAGCCACTCAGCCATATGGGGATGAGGCAAAGTACAAGCTTAACTTCTTCCACTTGGTTCAATGAACAAAGCCGCCAAGGATTCTTGGTCATGCTCATGGCATCAACATTGTCAATGATCATGGCTTTATCCAAAAATCTGCAAATTCCAAGTACTCTAGTGTAAAGGAAAAGGTTTTTGTATCCCAGATTTCTTTCCTTTATTGAAAGTGGAGATTTGCTTCCTTCAAAAAAATCCAGTACAGTGGCTTGGACATTCTTACCAAATTGGAATGCTTGACTTATTTAATTGAGCGGTAACCTTACCTGAATTGCTTTGTACGAGCCAAGGTGCGGCCCCTAGTTTGACCACAAGCATAGCAGTCACTACTCTGATCATCCAAACAAATGCCCCTGCCACCGTGCGTCTCACTCACGCGCCACTTCTTTGCCGCTGCAAATAAGACCTGAGCCACCCTAGTGAATGGGCTCCCTGCAGGACTCTGCTTTCTGTACCTCTTGATTCCAATCAAAAACAATGCAAATGCCACTGCCAATGACCCTGCTAGCACTCCAAATCCTGCTGTCCAGCTAACATTATCCTACATTTGAATGTATCAATTTCGATTAAATTCAAATAGTTTGATCATTTTTCAAGCCGAATTTAAGTGCAAAAATTAAAACTCAACTACGCTCAAGCTCAAATCTGACACTATATGGGATCGAATTATACATACACTCCTGGTAAAACAAAAGAATTTGTCATTACCTGCAGATAAACAACAGCAACTATTGCCAGAGAAGACCCAGTAACTATCCCTAGGTACCACCAGTTAAAGAATGAACTTTTGGCAGCCTTCTCTTCAGGATTGTTCTCATCGAATTGATCTGCAGCAAAGGCTTGAACGCAGGGTTTGTGCCCTCCTTCGCCTATGGCCAATACATAAAGTGCTGTGAAAAACACAGCTTCCCTGGAATGCGTAGGAATTACCGAGACTGATAAACTCAACAAAACCATACCCTGTAATAGTAAACATTGATGGTTAAGTAACATCTCATTCAAAATGAGAGATCCTGGATTATGAGCCTGTAAAAATTCGAATGAAACTTGCCAGGAAGTAGATGATAGACGATGCAATAATCGTTTTGAAGCGGCCAAGGTAAGAATCAGCAATGAAAGCTCCAAGTAAGGGAAAAATATAGGAGACACCAACCCAAGTATTGACATTTTCGACTGCTGTGGCTATTGGCTGCCCAAGATTATTTGTTAGATATGTGATCAGATTACCAGCCAAGCCATAGAAAGCAAATCTCTCAGCCATCTCCACAACTGCAAGCATGGCTATGTACAAGTTAAAAGAGCTAAAACTAAGAACAAAAACAAGTTTGAATTCATCGTGGTCACTTACATATTATGAATATGGCTGCATTCCAGCCTCCTCTGGGAGATTTTGTACGGCCATTTTGGGTTGTAACTGGAGCAACTAAGCTATCCATTGAGCGGATCTGAAGTAAGAAAAGGTTGGGGTGGCCTGCAGGGTCTGCTTGTCCCTTTTGTAAAACGTGTGAGATGTTCTTGCTTTGGGCATCCGAGTAACTATGTCTTCATGGTATTTCCTTCGCAAGGTTAAGTCCGTGTTAGATATTAAGGCAGAAGATGATCCGAAAACCCCAAAAAAGGAAGGATATTAATGAAGAAATCTGTGTCACTAGATTCCCTTCCACTTGTTACTGTTTGATTGAGTCAGATAATATCCATGGTTCTGAAGGTTTGATTTAGTTCTTGCGATTGCTGGGCACATGTTTTGTTATTTGCTTTTTCCACGTTTAAAACATTGCTAAAAGGCAAAAACAATTGCTACGTTTAAAACATTGCTAAAATACATAAAATTTTTGTCTGATAAATGGCGCATTTTTTTATATTATATTTTAGACTTGATTTAAATTAAATCAACGAGATAAGTTTTTTGATCTGTAAATCAAAATACAAAATTTTAGAATACGAATATATGTTACCTAGGTATTATTATTTTGAGAGTTATTATTTAGATATCAAATTAGTATTATTTGTTATTTATATTCAAGTCCTTCTCAATGCTTTGGTGTGATTTATGGAAAATTCTCACTAATTTTAAAAGTAATAACAAATGTTGTTATTTTCTTGAAAAGAGGTATTCATGAATCGAGTTGAGTTGGATTAACACTTTTAAATTTTTTATTTGAGGCCAAGCTTGACTCATCCATTTAAGCTCATTTAATTTAAATTTATTATTTTATATTTAATATTTTTAAATAAGTTTTAAAAATAAAAAATTTATTAATATCATGATTAGACTCAAATTTTAAAAATCCTTTCTAAGACTCAAGTTAATTGAAATTAGGCTTACGGGTCTGACAGGTCGCCCAACCCTTAGATAAGTCCAGTTACATTGTTGGTTTAATTATTTTTAATGAAAGCAGTTGCTTTTCTTTAAATTTTAATTTATTTATAGTTCTTCATTTGCAATATTTATTTTCATATTTGATTTTGAGCTTACCATTGTTTCTTCATTAATCTTGGAATTGGTCTTAGCTATTCTTTTGATTTTTTTTTTAATTGTCAAGCTTTATTTGCTTTTTAAAGAAAAACCTTACATTGAAAATATTTTCACAAAATTCTCCGAACGCTTTTTGTGTGTGTAGAAAAATTCCTTGATGTAAAGAATTTCCAAATATATATCTTGTCACTAAAGTCTACAATAATTCCACTAAATTTCTTCATTAGTAATTAGTTTTTCACACAAACACATATTTATATTTAAAAGATATAAAGAGCAAACCATTGTTATATAAAGATATTTTAGCAAAAAATAATTGTAAATAAAGGTAAAAATCTTTATGAAATTATTATCGATTTTTTCTTTTTTCTTTTATGTCACTATCAATTATCCCTTTTCTAAATTTATTATTTTTATAGACTTCATGAGTTTATTTATATTTTTATATTCAATTTTTTTAACATTCAACATGATTAATTTAGTGAATATAGCAAAAAAAAAACCTTTAGAAGCTTTCCCTTCTCTAACAAAATTGTTACTTCAAGTCCCTTAAAGGAATTTCATTACGGAGTATTTTTAATATTTTGTGTATATATTGCAAACAATTAGAATTCCAAAGCAATAAGTAATACAAAATTAACAATGAAATAATTATAACATGCAAGGCCGGGAACCCAACCGCTCAATGCGAAATGAAATCGTTATCAATTTTTTTTTTGTCAAAGTGTAATTAGTTATCTATTTGAGTCTATTTGAGCCCGTTTCTTTAAAATGTTACCTTAAGCTTCACCTAAGTTCATTTTTAAAAAAATTAGCTCCAGTCAACATAACAGTTTTAAAGTTCAGAATCACAGTTACACACAAAAAGGTATTAGTAGAGATGCCAACAGGTAGGGTACATGTTAATTTTGAGGTACCCAAACCAAAATCCTATAAAAAATAAACTACTTGAACCGTATTAACTACCCGAATATTTTTTAAAATTGTTATTCTAACCCTAACCTTAATACATCTCCACTACCCTATAATTACCCTAACCCATTTAAAAACTCGATTATGTAAAAAAATTATTAAAATACTATTCATGGGTACCTAATTACCCGAATCCAAATCCGTATCCATATACAATAATATTTCTCTTATACATTTCATATAATTTACTAATAATTAAATTAATTAAAACGCACAAATAATAAAATTTAAATTTAAATAATCAAAAACAAATGTCTCAAACATAATTAATGAATTTATTAGCTATGGCTTTTGAAATGTTAACACAAAATATAAAGTAAATATATTTATATTTAAAGTGTGTGTACACTAAAAGTATTTTAATATACATATATAATAGTGATTATATTTCTTATAAATGAACTCAATATATATAACGTATATATATTAAAAGACATTACAAGT